TTGCAGTACAATGTTAACCAGTCCAGGCCAGCCCAGCCCCGATCATCGCAGCTTAACCAGGCCAACCCAAGCCAAACCAACCCAAGCTCAGACCAGCCCAGCCTTACTCAACTTATAATTGTGTACCCCATCCCGTCCCGCCAAAACTACCCGCCCTTCCAGACTTTAAACCCAAAAAAGTGCCAAAACAAACCCAATCTTAACACAAATTTATGATGTGTTTTTGCATTCGGAATATAACAATTTATATGACATGCCGCAAAAAGTAATCCTTTCAATACAAACACATAAAACACTTTTAATGCTCCTTAACTTCCTTATTATTTCAACGTTTGTCATAAATTTTAATGCCATTTGGAAGAACAGGCATTCTTTTCAAAAAGAATTAAAACTTTTTGAAATTTCAAAAAAAAAATTAAAATTCTTGAACTTTAGAAAAGACATTAAAAAAGATCTTAAAATTTTTGGAAAAAGCATTAAAAGTGCAAAAGCAAAAGTAAGAAAAAGCATCAAAATGTCATAAATTAAGGCACGGATTAGGGTCAAGCACATGAGTTCGGAATGGCAAACTTTGAAGGATTGGGTTAGTATTGGAAGTTCAAATTCTTCAAATTAAAAAAATTTAGAAACTTTAAAAATGATTTTAAAAAATAGAAGCCTACTCTAGTATACCGTACATTTAGCCTTTCCCTGATTTGTAAAGAAATTTCTTGTTACTTTTTGCTTTGTAAAGAAAGTTCTTGTCACTTTTAGCTTTGTAAAGAAAGTTCTTGCCACTTTTAGCTTTGTAAAGAAAGTTCTTGCCACTTTTTGCTTTGTAAAGAAAGTTCTTGCCACTTTTTGCTTTGTAAAGAAAGTTCTTGCCATTTCTTGTTTTGTAAAGAAAGTTTTTGCCATTTCTTGTTTTGTAAAGAAAGTTTTTGCCTTTTTTGATTTGTGAAGGAACTTTTTGGCTTATATACCTTTTACCATACCCTACATTACCCTGCACTATCCCACCCTACCGTGCCTTACCCTAACCTATTTTACCATATCTTACTCTACCCTGCCCTACCTAACCTTAACACAGACATTTAATAATAAAAACCTCAAAAAACAAACTTTCATGCCTAAAAGCAAATTTTCAACTCAAAAATATTTTCCAAAATTCAAATATTAAAATTGACACTTCAGCCCTCCAGCTATGGCATTTGCTCTTCAGGTCGAACTAGAAATAGAGCTGCCCCCACCTTTCCAAAAAATGTCTTCTGTTCAGGTGAAAGTCATCAAATTGAAGATGGACGTCAACAGACGACAGAGGCACAGAACAATATTTTTTACAAATTTTTAGCATTTTTTGCTTTATGACCTTTTGAAATGGCAGTAAGAAAAAATTTTAATTTTTTCCAGCTTTAGGTAATTCATACCTACCCCTCACATCCTGCCTTTCACCTTTTTCCCTCCTCCTTTCTTCCACTCCAAGATAATCTCCCCTGCACTAGTTATGGTACTTACAGTAAGCCCTGGGCATTGATTGTAGTACCCACAACATTTCCTTATGTACTAATTATAGTACCTACAGTATGTCTTTGTGTACTAGCTACGGTAGCTACAGTATGGCTTTGAATACTAGCTTCAGTAACTACAATAAGCACCAATGCACTACTTATATTAACTACAGTATATGCCTTTATACACTAGTTATAGTAAATACCGTACGCCCCTTATGCACTAATTATTGTAACTACTGTATGCCTTTAAGCTGTAGTTACAGTACCTACAGTATGCTCTTATAAACTATTTATAGTACCTACAAAGTCTTTACTAAAACCGGAAGTACCAAAATAAAACAGTTACTTTACCCTGTCATCTAGACCTTAAATACTCTCTGCAACACCCCAAATTCAAGACTTGTAGTACATTACATTTAAAATAGATACAAACTGTCAAACACTTCATGCTTGTTTACCTGCTCGAGTTCCACGAACGTAGTAACATGATAGAGTGACATAAATGCAAAATGAGTAAATAATCTCTGCAAAAACTATAAATACTAAAGATATCTGGGAAACAACTATGGTTTAAATTGAAGTACACGAGAGAAGAAGGTAATATGAAGGTTACTGTAATACAAAAATTGTGTCAAAAAGACAGTATCAAACGCTATCAGCAATGCAATCTTCAAACAACTATAACTCGTTCAAAACAAGTATATAGCAACTTTTGATAACAAATTCTGAAAAATTACAGTACGAGATATATAATAAATAGATTTCTTTAAGAGAAATAAAAATCAACCACCTAACCTCAAGTTCACACATTTCAAAAGTGTCATTAGTGAAGCTACCGTCTTTTCAGATGTCAATCAATACCGGCTGATTTATATCGATTGTTGACTATTTTGCAAATAATACTGCAACTGAAATATGCCCTTACTATGCACTTTACATCCATTTAAAAATATCAGCTTGTTTTGCAAAATTATTTAGGGTTTTCAAATACCTATAGAGGTCGGTATATATAATCTATTTATATTTATTATACTAATTTAATATAATATTATGTACTACATATATACATATATATTTATAGTATTATACATTCGTATAAACTCAATTAAAAACAATATTTCAGGTCAAAAGTCCACATTCTAACACATTTTTGACCTTATGTTAAAGAAAAAGTGTATTTATTTTGTAGAGAATTGGCCCATCTGTGATAATCGATTAGGTTTGATAGGTGTGATGGATTGAAAGCGAAAGTATAATATTCAAGATTAAAGATTTGTTTATCTTTATCACTACTCCAAGTTTAGTTGTTCAAAGTAACATAGAATAAACCTTTTTATCTCAAAGTAAAACGATTATAACATCGGTTTATATTAACATTACTGAAACGTTTCAAAACAAATAAATTTATACTGATTTAGCCACGTCGTTTTACCCCAGTAAAACAAAAAAATAAAATTTTTAAAATGCGTAATTTTGCAAAAAAAGCAACTTAATAAGGCCATCAATCAAAAAATATTAAAAAATGCACTTTTAAATAGTATACGCAGTTTAAAAAGCAAAAAAATTAAAAACGAAATTCAGCACGTTTGTCCAATAAATTCATTATGTATGTCAGTAGACTAAAACCATCAAGGTGGAAGTAATCAAATTATAAAAATTTTAAAAAAACCACATTTTTGAAAAAATTTGACTTTTGCACGTACAAACCATAAAAGTGCATGCTCAATTATACTCATAAAAACTCAATAGCCCTAAGTTCAAATTACATTAAAACGTCTGTATAACAAACTCCTCTTTAACAAAATTATTTCATAAAAAACAAATTTTAAGCTTTCAAAAGATTCGTTATACAGGAATCTCACAGTACCTCCATTTCCCTATTTTACAGTGGAACTCCTGCATAACGAAACTCGTTCATAAAAAATTGAAGCCCTCAATCACTGTACCCCCGTTTCCCCTACTTATTTTCCACCCAAACACCTCTCACCCAGACGAATAAATCTGGAATCGGCCGAAGGGTATAGTGGAACAAAAACCTCGCACCCACTCAAGTCTCAATTGTTAACCAAATTTTGGAAGCCCGCCCGGAGGGGAATTGCCACAGTATTCATGACGTTCTGCTTGATGAAATTTGGGTTCGTTCTTATCGGATTTCCGATTCTTATCCGTTCGGCCACCAATTTGAAGGAATTGCCTTTAGGTAATTAAAGAAAAATTACGATTTTCGTAGTGTTTTTGAGCCATTCAATCATTATTTTACATAATTATATTATAGTAATATATCAAAATCTGAAAAATCAGTTTCTTATCAAAAATGCATCAATTCTTTCGTTTTTTTCCTTTATTGCCTACCTCAACATAAGACAATGACACATTATTAACACCAGAGAAAAAAGAAATATTTTGGCCTTTACATCGCCATAGAACAACATTTACCGTTTTTACTACCATCAAACACAATAAGGCAGTTCATGTTTATTTAACCGTTAAAATATTTAAATACAACTACAGTAAGGGGGAACATTAGTGGCAAATCGTTAAAACATTAAAAGAATAAAAGTATTAAAGGAATACAAGTTAATGAAAGATTGCTTAGTTGGGAGAATCATTTTGGAAATGAACAGATCAAAATGGCAACGTTAAAATGTAGAAAAGCGATTGGAAACATGTTTCATATTAATTGAATTGGTATGCTCAAGGTATCGACTCGGAAACGGTCGATGTTTGGTTAGTAAAAAGTATGGAGTATAAACTGAAAAAAAGAATGGCATTCTTAAAACAGAAGCTGCTAAACGTTAATGGGACGATAAGAATTGGTACGACTTAACATAAAATAAGGTCTAGCATGAATTAACGAGAGTAAGACCTGTTATCATAAGACAATACCTGTTACAACTTAACATACAATAAAAACTGTTAATAGTATCGACGAAAACTTATACTTAATATCAATAAAAAAGATACCACCTACTGTAAGAAGATAAACTTAAAACTTGGTGATTACCCATATAGACAGATTAAAGGCATTACTTTGTAAGAGCAATCAGAAGTAATACTACTACTTAAAGTCGACATAAACTGTTAAAACTACTAGATAAATATTAAATAATGAAATACGACGCATCTTGCACTAATTATCACTTATTACACTTTCAAAGACAAAAGCTTTGCTAACTATCCAGCTGCATATACCTAGTGCGTCTACCACTACAAATAACTTTAGGTAAATCAGTTAATTCTCTGGCATTTCAAATCAAAGCACTAAATGGTCAATGCTTTTTAAAATCAAAAAAGCAAAAGAATTAATGTCACTACCTAAAATTAAAGAATTGCAAGACCTATAGACAAAATCCTATGTCAATGTGGGCTAACTTACTTGATTAGTCAGTTTTAATAAGGCAAGATACATTTAGAGAAAAAGCTCATTGATAGTTCAACCTGGTGTGAGTTGTTTGTAGGTATGAAAGCAAGTATTGTTAAGTTGGTGAAATTGCAGTATGATTGGAACGTTTACTTCCCATCTGATAGACGTTGAACTAGAACAAAATACTTTTAAATCTATGTTAATATTATTTTAAAAAGTTATACTTTAAGCCTTATAAAATCAAAAACATCAATTTAAAAGCCAAAAAAAACAATAAGTATAACAAGGAGATTGATATACCTACCTTTAATCTGAAGATTCCTATCCCCAGCCATGGCCGAACTCGGCCGTTTCCTGATCTTCTTTACACTCTTTTCATCTTCTGTCTCCGACAATGAATCTTCACTGTCTACAAGCTTTGAATCCTCCAAAAGAGACGACTCTTTGTCCTCAACTTCAATCAGAATACTTCTGTCTGGTGTTCTGACCAGTCGTTCGATATCCGAATCCAACTCTTCCGATTTCTCAAAGTCCAGCTTTGTTACTTCGACCGTTTTCTCTTTCACTTCGCCGTTTAGTGAGCCGTTCATGAGGTAATGTCGACGTTCTGAGTGCACATTCAGTACCCGTACTGGTTGATGAGCAGCATTAGGCCCGGCCGCTTCCAAACTGCGCACAATCTCTTCGTCAAACTCGTCGATTACATCAAATTCATCTACAAAACAAGCATTTTTATATCTTTTAAAAATAAATCTAAGCCATGCAAACAGATATTATTACAAATTTAAAAGCTTTAGGCTTAAACATAACATAATACCTGATAAAAACGACCAAAAACCGAATTTTTTACTAAAAATTGCCCAAAAAATAAAAAAAATCCTTTAAAAATTCAAGACAATGCCTTTCATACCTCCATTAATGCTGGTTTCTCTTTCCATCCTGATTGAATGTCGTTCCAATACAAAATCTGACACTTCTTCGATATCTTCATCTTCGTCCTCTTCATCTGACTCCGTCAGATCCGCAAATCCGGGCCCTTTGAAATTCTCTACTACCTCGTATGGATTCACTCTTATGAACAACGAGTCCTGCTCGGGGTTGACATAACGATGAGATTGGTGTGAGACCAACGCTATCGACCTTGGCGAAGCTGTGAGATAATGTTCTAACGGCACATCCATACTTGTAGGCTCATGTGATGACGGAAGAGATGCGTACGGATCACGCGACTTGTTGTGGAACTAAAAATGTTAAGGAAGGTAAGAAAATGACTGTATTGTAAATTTACATTACAATGCGATATTTTAAAATCAAATCCAAGATTCTAGACAACAAAGTAGAAACCTATTCATCTTTTAAGATAACTAAACTTTAAAAATTCGAACCAACACTTTTTTTACTCTAACAATAGTAAAATCAGCGTAGAATTTAATTTGAATGGCTTTAGTACCTAAAATTCAAAAATAAATTAAAGACTTACTGATACGCATAGTATTGACATATTATCGCTTTTCAAGTTCTTCCATCCAACAATAGTTTTTTGTAAGAGAAATCTAGCTGGATTCTTAATTCTATTCTAAAACAAACATAATTAATATATCAAAATTAAATAACATATTTATCACAAAAAAGTAAAATTTTTAAATTATCGCTAAAATACGTTTACCTTGAAAACATATAAGTTTAGGTATAAAAACAAACTGAAACATTCATAACAACCAAAAACTTACGTTCCTAACCCCAGGATGACACTCCCACATGTAATCTGCAATTTGTGACGACTTTATGACATGCGTAATACCATCTGTAATCAAAACCAAATATCTATCCATCGCTGTCACCGGACGAACATCAACATCCGGCTCCGGAGACACTGCATACTTCATTGTGCTAGGTACATATGACCAATAATCCCCTAGTGATCGTGCAATCGATAAGAATGGCACGGATTCGGTACGATCGACATGTCGCCGTACCCACATTACCCGTGGTACTATCGAAACCCGTGAAACACTGCCTCCATCCCGTTCGATCCGAGCTAATTCCTTGTGATCTTCTGGCTTGTGATCGGCTGTCAGGTCGGTGTGGGAAAAACCTGAATTTAGATGTAAAGTTACCTTTTATACCTAATTTATCGATTTTTCGACAAAAATTGCATAAAAGTGCAATAAATCGTCGCTTTTAGCATAATAACGTTTGCAAATCCTAAAAGCACAAAACAGAACTTATAAAAGCATACCCATTGACGTCTCTCTAACCATGACAATCCGAGAATCCCCGCAATGGGCTGTGTAGATCTTCCCATTCCTTATCAGAGCACAGCTCACTGTAGTCCCAGCCGTTGATGGAAACCCATTGGCTCTGGAAGGCCATGTAGAATGAACATCCTTCATTTCTTCGTGAATCTGTAAGAACGCCGACTTCATAGCTTTTAACACCATGTCATCGTCGTCTGAGTCAAAGCCTTCAGAATCTCGTATTGTAGACCATAAATGTTGTTTTACGTAAGACGAAGCCTCGGGCCCACCATGACCATCCAGAACTGCTACAAAAATACCATCAATCTGTTTTTCTGCATTGCGAGTGACTTCTATCGATATCCTATCTTCCATGTACTTGCGACAGCCCTGAAAGCAGACAAATATCAAAATAATATAATTTTAGATTTCAATAGTAGTATAAAAAAACATTTTTTAAGTTTTTAGCAACAACAATTTACTCGTAAAACTATGGAATTTAAAGCTAAATACTCTGCAAACTATAAATTCACTATATACCAGTAAAAAATATATAATTTTTCCAATTTTTTAAACATTATCCATAGTTCCAACAGCAAATCAGCCTAAAACAACAAAATTACAATAGAATACTTACTCGTGAAGCTGCCGCTGTTATAGAATATAACATGCTGAATCCCAGATGTTCGCCCACTCCAATCGATCACAATTAGCTAAAAGTCAAAAAAAATCAATGAACTAAAAACGATATGAACATTAACATACAAAACGAACGTGAAGTTAGCAAATATGTTATAAAAACTAATTTTACAAATTTAGAAATCTGCGTAGCAATCGGATTATCCACCGCCTTCAGGATAATCCGTTTTTGCATAAGTTTTTCACAAAAAAAGCAAACAAAAGTTCATTCTGGCGGTTAAATAAAGAGTAAGTACAATATATTGATAAATTGGAACGTAAGACAACTTTTTTCGAATCGAAGATGGCGATTCGTGTCAAGTTTTGTTTAAAATTCGGCGAAAAAACGTTAAAACGCGGGAATTTACAAAATTTTACGAGATAATTTTGAGTTTGGCTTTGTGTTGTTTTCGGTGCGGGACCCAGCGGAAGTGAAGATCCTTTTTCAGGTAAACCTAGTCGGGATTAAAATTCGAATTCTTTTCGAATACCGCGGAATGCGCAATTGCTTTTACATGTTCTTTTATTATATTTAAAAATCAATTTAACTTATATTGTCGAATTTACTGCGCAAAACTAGGAAAATTCTTTTTAAATTAGTTTTGACAATGTAAAACAAGATAAAATCAGTTCCTAAAGACTTTATTCATTCAAAATGCTACTAAAGTTCAAGTTTTCTTCTTTTTCTCGAGTTTTGCTTTCAGTTTCTTCAGGTACTTGGCGTAGTCTTGAATGAATTGATTGTGAAGTGGAGTTTTTTCGAGTTGAGGATTGTCCTGGAACATTGATATCATGACGGCCAAGTGCAGGAAGACGTACTGTGGAGCTGACTGGACAGAAAGCAATCGTTGTTTTCGTATCTCTTTCACAAACTAAAAATTTTTGTTTAATAAGCTTTAGGGAATACTAAACTTCATAAGCTTGATGTTGTAGTACTTACTTCAAGCATGGTGCCCTTCCCATCAGTTGCTTTTAGCTTCTCATTAACATAATCGATGGCTACGAATGTACCGGTGCGCCCAATGCCTAAAATTTTAAATTTTGAACGTAATTAGTACTGTAAACCTTAATGAACAATTTTATGAATGTCTTCCCCTCCCAAAGCCCAACTTCTTTGCCTGACCCTGAATCTGAAGCCTAATTTTGAAATTTTTTAAAGAAAAAGTGGCAATAGCACCATAATTTACCAGCTGAACAATGAACGATAATTGGTTTCCCTGAAGCGCATTTTTTCTTGGCCAACTTGATCAACTTGATGATGGGAATGGCGTCAGTTGGAGCTGTATGATCTTGCCAATCCGACAAACGAATATGCGTGATAGATAAGGTTTCTGAACTGAAAATAGAAACTATTTAATGTCATAAAATTCCATAATTTTTCTTTCAAGTGTACCAAACTTACGGCCCTTCTAACTCAAGCTGACTCAAAACAGCCGCCCCAATGTCTGCCGGTCCAGTCTTTTCGCATTTCACCTTGATATTGTTGTAGGTCTGGCTTTCCCCTTCTTTCATGGGATAGTAGTAAGCACATTTTTCCGTTTCTTCCTCAACAAAGTCGCACAACATGACGATGACCGAAGCCTTCTCTTGTTGGACCATCAACCAAAAGTCATCACAAGTGTCAGTCATCGGGCCTTGAGTGCAGATATAGTTCTGGGCCTTGCTGCCTGGAGGGCATACACGATTGGCATGAATGTAGTCTTCTTCTTGACCTTTTAGGACCACTCTGGATGCATCTAGGCACGATACGTCGGCGTACCGATTCTTCGTGGCGTTCTTTTCAAAGGCTTTCAACGAAATGTTTTTGGGTTGGTAGGTGCGTAGCTAAACCGACATTTTTATAAGATGTCGGTGTTAAAAGTATATCTTTTGCTGTTAATAGGTTCACAAGATACTTAGTTTACATTGTGCTTAATTATTTGTAAAACAACCAAGTTACAGAATTCTAAAGCCTGTTGCAAGACCTCTAACTTTACATACCGTAACAAACTCATGCATCACTTTCCGAACTCCATTTTTGGCAAAAGCCATGACAAATGTGACACGTGGATCTCCCATAACGTAAGCAGAAGGCTGGGCTTCAGACATGGCAGAGGTGAATTCTTTTTTCTTGTCTTCTTTAGGAGTTTCAGCTGGGTCCATATCAGTAGGATCGTCATTGTTGGCGTTATCCAAGTAAGTGCGGGTCGGTTTCTTTCCTGACTTTTTGTTCTGAAAGTAAGGTGATAGCAAGTTCATCATGTCTTTTGTCATAAAATGGTCAAAAATCGTTCTTAATTAAAAAATAGGGGAAAATAGCTCTAAATGGCTAACATCATATAACTTTTGACTTAATAACTTTCTCTTTTCTACCTTATTACCTACAATTGTGTAGCTACAACATATCAAAACCCACCTTCTTTTTGTCCTTCTTCTTCGCGGTTTCCTTCTCTTTGGTGTCATAGTTCTTGCTTTTGGAAGCTGGACTCTCGGTTTCGTCTCTGGTCAACTGACTCGAGTTTCGTCGTCGCTTCGGAGTCTTCGGTGCACCCATATCCGTCAGGTATTGTGAAACCTCATTCTGTTTCTTTGCCATCTTCGTGAAGTTTCAAGCGCTCTTCTTCGGGTTTGAAGCGATCTTCTTCGGGTTTGAAGCGCTCTTCTTCAGGTCTGAAGGGAGACCAGAGAAATCCTACGATTCGACCGGTCGGTAATATTTCACAGCGTTTGAATGCGAGTAAATAAAAGATTCATGAACCAAGTTTACACTTTCGAAAGAGCACGTTTTCGACTGAACTTTTTAAATTTGGTTGGTAAAAAACTTAAAATGAAGTTTGTCATAGAAGTTACTATCAAAAAGTCAAAACTGACTACAAAACCCAATTTATTTTACAACATAGCCAAGCATAAATAACAAACATATACCACATTAAAAAATACTTCAAAAACACAGTATCAAATGTAAGACAAAGATACACATATTCGCCTTTATTTAATCAATATTTTACTGTCCAAACGTATTTTACGACCAGGCCACACATCTTACAATGCAAAGCCGATCAAAGTATTAGTAAAAGTGACAAAAATTAATTGAAAATAGCCAGATGACGTCGCGTAGCATAGGCTTCTACCAGTTTTACGAGGTTTGCGTTCAGTCTTTGTTGTATTCGTTCGATGCCGACCTTGTTCTTGAACACGATCATGCAGATAACGGCGTCGCGACGTACTCCTGTTACTGTCGAGTTCTCGTAGATCTGAAAGTAAGGCTTATCATATGACCATCATACTTCACGCGTATTTTAGAAACATTTTTTTAATTTTAAATTTTGAAATCAATTAAAAAAAACCTTTTTAGTCTCGTTATAGACAACCAAAATTAACAAAAAGCAAAACAAACTAATGCCGATACAAACCAACCAAAACCTAACCCTACCTGTCTCAAAACCGGCACAATATCATCCACCAGCCCTTCCACCATAATCGTATCCGTCTTGTGTAGAACATACGGTAGCAACTGTAGAGTAGCTCTAACTTTGTTTGTCGGATCACTCGTCTTCGTAGCTCTGACCAAATTCAATAGAATAGGTAACACAGCATTGACAGGACATGAATTGCTAATCTCTACAAACAAATCCTCAATCTCTTTATGTAATGGCAGCTCGTTTTCCTCCAAACTAACAATCTCGGTGATCAATGTGTTCACTTTTGGCGTGATTCCTTTGGCGTTCTTGACCAAAGCTTTGAGCAACCTTACAGCTGCACATCTGACAATACCTTCTGCATCTGTATCCTTGGCTATTTCTAGTGATCTGGTGAATAGTTGAGGCAAGTAGTAGTCGAGCTGAGGAATCTTATGATCGTTGACCATACGGGTTAGCTGGTCTAGGGATTCACGGACTGTACGGGTCGACGATGGGCTAAAATATAAAATTTCAATTCGAAGTTGTATTTAAAACTTCAAACCTTCAATTTAATTAAACTAGCTGCTATAGAATATTAAAAAGTATAGTAAAAACAATATAGTGCACCATACATATCAACCTACACATTAGTATAACCTAAAACAATTTAATGTTTTACCTTCCATCATGTCTCATTTCAGTGTTAGCCAGCAGCGTTTGCACATCTTGTGATCCGTTTTGTTCTGTCGTATGACTAATTACTCGAGGTTGGGGTCGGTAAACTGGAGTATTCATTTTCGGAGTTATTGGTGCTGAAGGTTGCCGAAGATTTGATGGAGTACGACGACCAACCTGTAAAGTAAAATATCAAAACCTTATGAGGAAAACATTAATTTATCTTAACAAGCGTATAAAAGCCAATATAAAACTATCCTTAAGCGTTATAATATGGTTGTTAGCTTTAAGGCATTAAAAACGATTGCTATATAAACCTAGGTTAATATACAAAATTTTTCAACTTAAATTTATATTTTTTATAATATTTGAAGCTGTTAAACATTTATAAAACTCACATCGTGACCATTCTTCGGTGGTGAAGGCGACCTCATCTGTCTAACTTGAGGAATCTTGGGTTCAGAGATTTGTCTCGTCGTCTGTCGTCCCTTCAGATCACCATTAGTTGGCTTTGGTGGTACAGCGGCCGGATTGTTATCCATTCGTCGTTCATTTAGAACTCGAGATCGAATAGCTGAACTGCTCGTCGACGGCTGGATCGGAGTTGGGAATTGTCGACGCTTCGGTGAGGCGTTTCTGCTTCCGGCTAAAAATGATTATGTAGTGCTTAAAATGGCATTTTTATAAATATTCTAAAATTTTAAAATTCATTTTTATTTTGTTCAAAATTTTCAATAAAAACTGCCTTACGTTGACTTTTAGGAGGACAGTTAGTAGCTGATGCCAAAGAAGGATTACTTGGTTTCCGTTGACTTATTGGTACTCTGTTAGAAGCCGCTGAAAACGGCTTCCTAATTTGATGTGACGTCATATCTGATGTGGCACGCATAGGAATGTAACTTGATTGAGCTGTCCTTCCTCTTGATGCAGGTATAGCACGTGAGGTACACATCGCTGAGAACTAAAGCAATATATTTTAGAGTAAAAAACCGTAAGATGTTAAGTTGTTATCCAGTAATGTGAGATGCGATCTTCAGATCTACTACAATATAACCAAAACATCCAAAAAAAGTCCAATATAAGCCAAATAAACTGCATCTTGTTACCTAAAAAACCAAAAAAATCAATAGAAAACCTTACTCCAGTGACTTTAGCTTCGGCCTTCTGAAGTCCGTCTCTTGAGTACTTTCTGGCAGTAGCATCAGCATCAGTAGAACCCTTTTCCAAAGCTTGGTACAACAATTGAGCGTTCTTTTGTAACAACTCTTCTGGCCACTCCTCAACCACATTCAACAATAATAGGCATATTGTAGACCTTATCAACTTGCTTTTGTTGTTTTTAAGCTCTTCGAACAGCATTTGTAGCATGGCATGGTTTTTAATGTTCTGAAAGCAAAAAATATAAAGAAAAATACAAGAATCAATAATTATAGGCAATTTTGACACTTCGAATTTTAAGTATGTCGCGGCTGCAAAATTAAAATTTTAGTCTTGGCCGAGACTTTTTAAAACACTAAACCTAAGCAAAACCTATAATTAGGTAACAAACTACATCAAAAGTATGAAAAACTCACCTTACAAATATACCTCAAGGCGGTAACTCCACTTGTAGCCATGATTTTAGTCGACTGTCCACTCATTTTCAGCAAATCTGGTACTAAGCTTTCAGCTTGGTTCTTAAAGTCCATTCCAATATGTTGAGCAACATACGCCACAGTAATACACGCATCTCGAGCCACTTGTGATCGTAGGGATCTCACCGACTGTCGAAGTTCATCTTGTATATTGTTCAGCTTCTGGGCAATGGTTTTTCCATCCAAGCCACCGTACTTTACTATCGATCTGAGTTCGATTAGCTAGAATTTATATGATTTAAGTTATATTATCATTTTTTAAATTTATATTGTTAGCATAGTCGTATTTTACATTTTTATTACCTAAAATTTTATTTTTTTGCAAAAAATGCTTAATTAAAAAAATTAATCTTGTTATTAGTATTATAGTATAAAACTTGATACTCACAGCATTGCAGGTAACACTCCAATTGTCAGCTTCATTTTGAAGAGCTTTGGCTATTGCTTGGAATCTTTGCTCTAAATCACGATGAACCGGCTAAAAAATTTTAAAAATAATAAAAAATCTAAAAAAGTAAGAAGAAAATACTTATTTTACAAAAAAAACCCTACCATGCTCTGTGGAATCTTTGAAAAAGAATCTTCGAATTCGGCTTCTGATATAGCACCGGCATCTCCGGTGCGCCCTCTGGCAGTCATTTTTGGCTGAAAGAAACCTTTATATTAGTTGGAAAGATACGAATTGTTAAAAATAATCCCAACAATATTGTAAAATGATTTTGAATTATGCAGAATAAATGCACCAAAAAAAATATTCGGAAACATTTTTATGTCAAAAAAAGCTCGCAAAAATAACAAATTTTAGTCTCACAACGAAAACAAAACCAGCGAAAAAGTTGGCATTCCGCACGATTAAAGTCATTGTGAAAATTAAATTGTAAATAGTTTCGCAAAATTGTAAATAGTTTCTTAAAAACTTATTTTACGGGTAACAGAACAGTAGCTATGGACAATAAACGTTTTGGAAGGCTAGACGATTTGCCATATGTTGCTTTACAAAATATTTCTCGATATTTATCGTTGGGAGATATTTATTCAGTGGGTTTTACTAACAGGCGACTATGGTTTCAAATGGCATCTATATTCAGACAACGGGTGATAAGATTTAAGAAGTTTGAGAAGTTAAGATGGTAAGTGCGGTGTTTGAAAGTCAAATTTAAATTTTTCTTGATCAAAGTTGATTTAGTTTTTTAGATATGCGTTGTTCATGATGTTATGACATTGTTTTCGATTAGTATAAACCGTTTGTCAAATGGTGACATAAAGCATCGAAAATATTAATGGTAGATTAAAGAAAACGTGTTTTAGGTATGAAACAAACAAAATGGATTTTGGTGGACGATTTGGCCACGCGATGTGTTATCATAAGCCTCAGAATCGTGTCTACGTCTTTGGAGGTATCAATGAGAACAAGGCCATGTTGAACGACTTGAGATACTTTTGCATGGTAAGGGTTTGGTTATTGTTTTTAAAGTTTAGGTGGTTTAAACTTCTAGATCATGATGGTTTTGGAATATTGATAGCTGATATATAAACAGTGTCAATTTGACGGAAAGTTGTTTGTTATTTTGGCGTAAAGCATTTATTTATAATCTTGTGGGTAATGGCAATTATTTTATAGAGAACAAGGACATGGAATCTGGAAGTATATGAATCTCCTGAACGTGACGGTCCTGAAGCTATGTCATTTGCGTCTTTGGTGTCTTACAAGGATTCTTTGATCTTGTTTGGTCTTTTCCCTAATGATTGTGCCAGTTCCTTCAGAATCCTTGTACTTGACGTTCCTTCTCGTAGGTGGAGCACGGTAAGCTATAATATCTTTCATTTTTAGAGGATTTTTAAATATTTATATACAAATTTTCATCTCGAACACGAAAATATTGTTTTTACAAGGATTTGACAAAGTATAATATAACTATGGCTTTGTAGAGTCTTTAACCATTAAAATTGCTGGTCTATCAATATTATTATAAATATTTCCAGGTTTATCGAAACAAACCGGAAGAGGTAGTAGGCAATACGTTTGGTCATTCAGCTGTAGTAATGGAGGGCAAAGTTATTTATTTCGGAGGTATGACTAGAAATGGCATACCGTGTAATCGAATGTTCATCTACTTCCCAGACACGATGGCTGTTCAAGTAGTGGAGTTAGAGTAAGTTTCAACTGTTTTTAAAATTTAGCACAACTTTATCAGTTTTTAATTTTTGAACTTCTGATAAATATATTTATCTTTTTTATATAAATTTTATATTTTTCAGAAACCCGCCATCTCCCCGAGTATTATCAGCACTGGCTGTACTTGACAGTACTCGACTGCTTTTAGTTGGTGGTCGGACTGGAATACAACCGCCATTCGAAAGTTATCAAGATGCTTTTATTGTCAAGTTTTTGGACGAGGAATTTAAAACTGCCACATGCACTACATTACCTGTAAGTTTTTATACTTTTCTCTGTTAAACATTATTGTATCGTAGTTAAATTGTTAGAGGCTCTTAATTTTTTTGTGATACTTTTAAATTTATCTTCTCGTGTACATTTAATGCCAAATGTACACGAGAAGGTTGAAGACTAGTTCGTGTAGCTTGAATCTACAATTTCACATATTGGCTTGCTTAAACTTTGAATTTTAACGATATTGTTTTAGATTGAAAACCCGGCCGCTTATCCACATTCGGTGTATGCCAATAGTAACACGTCTGATAAAATGATAATTGTATCAGAGCCTCGTGACTGTACCAAGGTCAATCTTGATTCCTTTTGTCTACGACAATTGTTCGGCTACGATTTTTCAAGCGAGAGATTTGTCGAAGTATGTTGATATATGGTACTTGTTTTATATATTTTTTACCTACTTTGTTATTTGCTTTTTATCTAACATAAATATCTGTTTTGTATTATAATATAATACTGAAAATTTGCAATAATTTATTGTAACTTAAGCTGTTCCAGGTCAGGCATTGCAAAATTCTTACGTTTTTGTGCCTTTGTCGTACAACACAAGACGATGTTGACCAGATGGACTATGACGTTTATCCACGACCTCAAGCTGGCGATCGTTTCATATCAACCGACAAAGTTTACAAAAAAAAAAAAATTGACAATCGTTATCATCTGTTTGCCCCCCAATACCCTGATATTCATGATACTATGAAGTTGGTGTGGCGCGATACCGTGGAAACGGTCCAACATCAGCGAGATTTCATTATGTACCCACACGACCACTTCTGTATTATGTTGTGGTTCACAAAGTATCATCCATTAGAAGAATGTGGGAATGGTCAACGTTGTAGTAGTTCATGCTACAGAGTAGGAGCGTGTATTTACAGAAGGATGAAAGAATTGTACAGAACGGAAGACGAAGCCTTTTGCTCAAACTACTAAAGTGGACGTACCATTTACACTCTTTAACATCTGGCAGGTCCATTCTGAATGGTCCTTACGTCCCAATGCCATTCGATGCTCAGGTATACTACGAAACGCCAATAGGTGGTAAGATTTTTGTTGATTTTTTCTCTAACAGGTGGATTTGAAGATTATTTACGTTGATGTTAGGTCAATTAATTACATTTGGTGATTGTACGAGACTATATAGTAACTCTAAAATGATTTTACCAAACTGCAGTAACCTTAAATGAATTTTATGATACGATAGTATCTCTAAAATGCTACTAAGAAACTATAGTAACATTAAACTCAATAATTTCAGAGGTCTTCCCCCTGGAACGCATTATAGAATTCCAAATGACAATTCCAGTGACCAGAGCTCTGATCGACGTTCCCTTAACATCCACCTTCTACACCGTCGACCTTGATTACGTAAGGGAAAACGAAAGGATTGCATTCAAACAACAGCTAGTACCATTCAATGCTCCCTTATTACAACAATACGCCCCAATCGTCGTGGCTGGTCCCGAGTTCTTCACTTGTGGAGGGGCTGATCCACTGACAAATGTCGTAACGGCAGAACGAGTCATTATCTCAAACAAAACTTACACGGGTTATTAGTGATATACCTTTAACAGTAGTTTCTTTGTATAATACTTTTGTTTTCTTGTCTGTTTATTGCTGTTAATGGTATATTATCTACATCTTTGCTCAAAACTGGTATTTCTCACATTTTGTTACATATTGTATATTCGCGTACATAGTTTTATTTGTATATTTATAGCCTTAATTTATTCCATGACCTGTTTATGACAAAGTCATTAAAATTGCTCAATTTCAAGGTTTGCAATAAAATTTTAACTTATTAACTATAAAGAGCTTTTGATTATGTACACCATGATAGAAATGTTTTATTTAGTACCTTTGTACATTACCAGTCTTATAAATCTACAATCCTACTAACCTGAGGTGACACATCATAACATGCCATATATTCTTGAGGGGAAAGGGAAATCTCGGGGAATGCGTTTTCGGGGAGTACATTTTCGGGGAGGAAGTTTCGGGGAATATGTTTTCGGGGAATAATATTTTCGGGGAGTACATTTTCGGGGAGGAAGTTTCGGGGAATATGTTTTCGGGGAATAATATTTTCGGGGAGTACATTTTCGGGGAGGAAGTTTCGGGGAATATGTTTTCGGGGAATAATATTTTCGGGGAGTACATTTTCGGGGAGGAAGTTTCGGGGAATATGTTTTCGGGGAATAATATTTTCGGGGAATGAACTTTTCGGAGAAAATTTTTCTTTAAATTTATTTTGATATAAATTCCTAAAAAGTTGATACTGATAGTTGTGGTTATATTAACTATTTTATTAATATATGATGTATAACTAATCTAATCATATGTGCCTTTAAGTATTGTGAACATCGTACCGTGAACGTTCCTATGACACATTTTTCTATTCATTTAATGTATGTTTTGCTAAATCATTAAAAAAACAGTAAGATTAGAACGTTCACGGCACGGTACGATAACGTTCATGGTATTCTGCTTATCATGCGACCTTACATTATAAGTATACAAAAATGTGTCATAGGAACGTTCACGGTACGATGTTCACAATACTTAAAAGCATATGTGATTCGGTCAGTATGTGATTCAGTCAACGTGATTTAGCCAGGTTGTGATTCATTCTACCAAGTTATACTACATTATTTGGTTTGAGATTAGTTATACATTATATATTAATAATATAGTTAATATAATCAAATTATTTTTAGTCATTCACAACTTACAGTATCAACTTTTTAGGAATTTATATCAAAATAAATTTTAAAAAAAATCTCCCCGAAAAGTTCACTCCCCGAAAATATTATTCCCCGAAAACAAATTCCCCAAAATTAAATTCCCCGAAAATACCATTCCCCGAAACTTCCTCCCCGAAAATGTACTCCCCGAAAACGCATTCCCCGAGATTTCACTAACCCATTCTTGAGCCTATATCCTCGATGCCACTATAAGCAAGAAAGCCACCGTGAAGACGCCGCAGATCTTCCACATGTCCTTGTTTTCCGACCTCTTCCTTTCTCGTTCAGCCATCAATAACTGTTGGAAGGTAGGGCAATACAGTCCTCGTTTCTCTCGGTCTCGTTGTATTTCGGCCGCTATTCGACGTTCTTCTGCTTCTCGAACCCGTGCTTGTTCGTCGTTGTAGGCCTTGTAATCTGGAGTTACATCTTCCGAATCTAGTCGGGATTTGAATTTTCTGTTGCCAAATCTTTTAAAAAATTCATCTGGATCCGTAAACTCTGGACGAGATTTCCTGAAATATAATAAATCATCTTCCAACTATGCCCTATTTAACTTTTGTCTACAATTGAAGATAACCAATGCAATAACCTCTGATGTGTATTTCAGGTAAATGCCCTTCCAAAGATATACCTAAACTTAAAAACCAACTAATAAAAAAAACATACCTAAATTCATACTCTCGAAACCTTCGTTCAAATTCTACTTGTTCTTCAGATCTTTCCTTGTATTTTTGTTGTCTTTTTGTTTGACTATGATCATACGGGTTGGCCCTTGTTCTATGTGGCTGCTTCAACGATTTATCGTACTCTGCTCGATTTGCTGCGTTTCCTAATATCTCGTAGGAGGCTGCTACCTAAAATGATATATGAATATAACATTCTTCACTTCTAAAAGATCTGTATTTAAAAAATACTTTATTTTAAAGCATATATCGTTATTTATACCCAAATTAAAGACTTTAATAGACATGAAAAACGGGCTGGACCGGCCTTGAGCAAAATTCCGATCGGGCCGGGCCTGAAAAATGAGCCGAGCCCGGCCCGTTTCTACGTAAAAAAATTTAGGCCCGGGCGGGGGGTACCATCGAGCCGGGCCGGCCCTGAGCAAAATTTCGATCGGGCCGTCATTCAGGCCCGCCCCGCGCCCGGCTCGTTTCTCGTGTCTAGACTTTATAAATTGAACCTCAAAACCTATAGTAAAAAACCTCAAAACAAATATCTACCTGTTGAAAAAGTTCAGCAGCTTTCTCATGATCGTCTGGCTTGGTGTCAGGATGGTATTTCTTGGACAATTCATAGAAGGCCGACTTTATTTCAGCTGCAGTCGCTTTCGGCTTCACTCCAAGAACTTGATAATGATCAACTGGTTTTGTAGACAATCTTCTGAATATATTGTTACCAAAGGAAGAACAAGTGCATCTTTGGAGCATACTACATTTAACTCACAGAGTTTTTAGAAAATTAGTCAAAAATATAAAAAAAACATTTATTTTTATTTGCAGCGTGCGTCCGCAGAATTTGCTGGCTGCAAGAGACATTTTATTTGTTTACGAACGTAATAATACCAGTTGTTTTACAGAATACTTTATTGCCAAAAAAAACATAGTTAATTAACGTAGTAAAAAACAATATATTTGTAGAATTATAAGATGAGTTTGAGAAGTAAACAAAGAGTGAAAGAATAAGAAGTTTAATTCTGAAATAGAGGTTAGGATTCGAGGAGAATTATAATAAAAATTGAAAGAAGTACAACAATATGATGATAATAAACAATAACTAAACTGTAAAGCTTACCTGTTAACCCGATTCATCAAATTATGATAGAAAAACTACTGAATACGTAAGATACTTTTAAAACATTATGTACATTTTTTAAAATTATACGTAAACATTGACATTAAAACCCTAAAATTATCAAGAAACATTGGTCCTTAAATGCAAGGTTACTTCTCGTAACTCATTGGAATTCGAAACTGGCTGCTACGACTTTCATCTCCAGCTAACGTTAAGAACATTGAAGCGCACGCTCGGGAACCAAAATCATGAGTTATCTAAAATAAAAATGGATTATCACTGAACTTTATAAAACAGTAGCATAACATAAGCTATTTAAGTTTTACATAATATCTTTGTTAAATAGTAAAGATAAGTTGAATAAAACAATAAGTTTTAGATCACATATTCAGTACTAACACAACACAACTTACCCTATTATAAACATCCAGTCCATTCTGAAGTTGTCGTCCCAAAGGTCTTTGGCATTCAATAGGCCACATCATTCCTCTATGTTCGTATACCGATCGATCCCTCATTAAAACATCAGCCGATATCTTGTAGCATAATTTAATCAGATGTGCCACAAATTGAGGATTGGGATACTGTGCCAAAGCTAACATTAACTGTTGATAGTTCTCTGGCCTCATAAACTCTATCAAAACTTGTTCATGGAAGGGCTGCTGAGGGAAGTGACTTTGGTTTAGATGATGAAAGTCTTCGACCAAAATGCTGGCTTCTGATTCGGTTAGAGATGTGAAGGCAGTCGGATCAGCTCCTCGTCTTCTCCCGGCTGGGATATACATTCCAAACTGAGCCAGCTGGTTTTTGAATATCTTGCCTCCGTCCTTGTTTTTAGCTCTGAATGAAGATATAAGTATATTAGAAAGGAATCGATATTACCTAGACCTATTTCAAGCTTTGAAAAACCAAAAATTTAAAAAATTGACCCCATTTTTCTCTTTTATTTTACAATTGCAAGTTTACAACTTACTTTCTCAAATAGCCTCCAGCGAATGACAAGTTCATTTCCTCTGGCTTTTGGAATCTTCTTTTCATTTCAGCAACCGTTACTGTATGTTTCACATTCGAATTTAACAATGCCAATCTTCCACCAGCTTCGTCAAACTTGATCAATTCATCTCCAGGTTTGATTTCAATCCCTTGAGGTTTGTCAGCGTCGTCTTCTGAATTCGACGTAGATTGCTGAAGATTTTGTTGACTAGACAAGGAATTTTGAATTGAATTTGAGCAGTTTGAGTTCTTCGAAGTGCTGTATCCAGAATCCCCTTTTGAGTTATGTGGCATCATGTTATACGAAACAGACGAATTGTTATTAGATGTACCAGACATGACGTTGTTTGAAGCAGATATACTGTTGTTAGGTGTACCAAACATCATGTTACTTGAACTCGACATGCCATTATAAGCCGACATCATGCTATTGTAACTACTGGAAATACTATTATTAGCTGTGTTGACCATGCTGTAGTCATAGTTCATGAACTGTGGCACCATTTGTTGTTGGTAATTCTTATCATCGCCTTTTGGAGTACTTTGTGAGACCTAAAACATTATTTTATAATACATAATATATGTTACCTTAATTCTGTTACCTTATTTAAAATATAAAAAATGTCATTAGGTTACTACGTACAATTTTTCAAAGCTTTTTTTTCAAGAATCTGAAGACATTTTTTGTAATTTTGTTAAAAGTTAGCGAAAACTTACGAAAGGAAAGCCTGCACCATAGCCGGCATACGGTGTGTTACCAAAATCTGACGAGTTCATGCTCCAATTCTGATTATTGTAACTGTTAGTCGAGTATTGTGATGTGTTTCCAAAGTCATTCAAAGGCTAGAATCAAAGGTTTATTTAAATTATTGGACACGGTCTACTATATACATACAAGTGAATTTCTGTATAACAAATCTCTCGGAAGTTGAAATCTTTTTGTTATAATAGGTTTGTTAAGCAAAGAATTTTGTTTACTATGTAATTTTGGCAAAGTAGTATTAATAAGTTGTTCGTTATACTGATATGCTGAATTAAGTTTAAAACATTTTTTTAAAAACATCTGATAGTGAGTTCAACTTTTTTCAATAACTTTTGATCTTAATATTTACATCAAACAAACTTACATTGTAAGCTGTAATTTTAGGTTTTACATCCTCAATGTCGTCGTTGTTCGTTTTTCGTTTTCGATTCGTCGGAGTTTCCGTGCTGGAATTTTCATTGTTCTCATTGTTGTAGTATGATCCGACGTTCTGTTGACTTGGGTCATTCATACTGGCCTAGAATTTGATAATATAAACAAATAGTCATTTATAGAATACAATTTTAAAACTGTAAAATCACGAATATGGGTATGAAGATCAGTCTTTTAGATATTTGGCAACTTTTTAGAAAAATTTCGTGAAATTTCGTTTTATTATAAAAAATTGTAGTTTTTTCAAAAAAAAATCAAAGAAAAAATGTTACAAGACCAACCATTACTTGCTGCGAATGCCTAGAATGATATTCTGAGGACATTTCTCCATCAGCTATATTCTCTACATTATATTAAAGCAGCTTCTCCGCCCCACCATCAAAGTTGAGGTTGGTAAAAGTACCTAAAGGAGACTCCAAATTCAAATGTTGGCGTCGGTAAGATTTCTGCGAGTTGAGTTTGGGTAAACTGTAATTTGTGTGCAGTTCAGGGTGTATGTTGTGCAATTTAAAGGTCTCTTAACTATAGATGTTACGTGTAATTGCCGTTTTTAATGTTGTTAATGGTAAAAATAAGAGCTTTGCTTAACGACTGAATCTTCAAAGCTTGGTTTAAGGTTTTGTTTAAAACCGTGAATGTTTAGAACAATGAAACTATGAAGAAATGCATCGAAGTAGTTGTAGATCATGAAAGAAAGTAAAGTTGAGTTAAACTGAACTTTGACACTAAATTAACGTGCTTGACATAAAAAATAAAAAAAACAAAAAGTAATTCTTAAAAAACAGAAAACAATGCAGATATGCTAGTACAATCATCCCCTACTCTTCAAAAATTCAGAATGCTTACCTTAAACATCAAGATAAATAAAAGTTCTACACTACCTACAAGAAGAAATATTAAACTTCACAAAGGTGTGTTAACTTCTCTTTAATTAGTAAAAGTTTAAAGATGAGTTTACAATGTTATCATCGTCCACAGTATTGTACTTTACAAAGTTATAACTAATTACTAACAAAAATGTTTGCGATACGCGTCCGAACGCATTGCACGCTGCAAGAGACGTTTTATTTGTTTATTGAAAAAAAAATAATTTTTCAGAAAAAGGAATTTCTCGTGATAATGTTGTATAAGTTATGTGGTGGCCAATAGAATAATATTGTAGTTTTAAAGTTTTGTGTGTTATTTAGACATTATTTATCGTGTTTTTCTGTTTTTAACCAAGTTATTATAGGATTTTTTATGTTTTTCATTGAAATCGCGAAAAATTCGTCGCAATTGATTTCTTTTTAGTAACTTTATCTTATACTTTGTCTGTTTGTATATATAGATCCTGACTTATATTTTATGGCTTTTTCAGGTTTTCTTTATAATATTGTAAATGACAAAAGATCCGAGTGCAATATTCGAGGTAGACATAATTGGACATGAAGTAATTGAGAAGCATGTGGTAAGCAGTTTTCCTTATGATTCATTCTGATTTTAGGAAATTGAGGTGTTTTATGATTAAAATCCTTTAAGAAGGGTTGATTGTTTAAAGGTGTATATTAGAATATTATGTAAATTTAATATTTAACTTATTAACAAAATATATTGCACTATAACAAAATAGATAAATTTATGAGATTCACAAGTTGAATAATGTATTTTGCAGGAATACACGGTGCAATGTAATCAATCTGGTCGAATATGGACGGTAAAACGGAGGTATAGAGACTTTGAACAGCTGAATGGTGAGCTAGAGCCGCTGGGCGTAAACTTAGAGCTGCCACCAAAGAAATTCTTCGGAAATACCAATGAAGAGTTTATTACAGATCGACAGGTGAAGTTACAAGTAAGAATTGAGGAATTAAAGAAGTTTTAATGTTTTATTACCAACAAGGTTAACATAAGTGTTTGATGTTTTAGATGGTGTTTTTACAATTTGAAGTGGTCATTAGACTTTGAAATGGGCCTTATTATCACTTAAATAAGTTATCTGAGTTTTGAAATTTTGATTTTAGGACTTTCTCCGGCGTGTGTCTTGCCATCCTTTTCTGTTTTCTTCTCCTACAGCTGCTCAGTTCTTTGAGCTTTCAGAAGAATGTCTGAGAAGTGAGTTTAAAGCACTTTGCGCATCTATCTTACAATTTTTAGTTATACCTGTAAAATGACTGGACTTTATTATCTAAATACGTTATACAATTTCTAATTATCAAATTTTAAAGGACTAATTAGATCAAATACTTTATCTTCCAGATTACGAGAATAATATTTTGTTTGCTGCCCGGAATAACCCTACGTATCGACTGAAACGCCTGTGGCATGCTTGTGGATGGAGGTACTACAAGATGCATGCCGAACTAACAGATTCAGAACCGCATAATGAGAATGACTACGTACTAACCTGGATGTCATATGGACCAGATGCTCATTCGACTGATTTGAGGAAACGAGCTGCCATTACTAACGAATGTTTCAAGTTTCTGAAAGGACTGCCTAGCAATTATTTTGTGAAGAATGTGTTGGCCATGGCTGACGAGAGAGGTGTGCATACGATCAGCCACAAGTTGAAGAAGGGCAATATGAGGGATTTTACTTTTATGGTTAGTTTAGTCATGGTTTAATGTTAAAAAAAAGAGATTTTTTAAATTTTTGAAGGTTTATATATATAAATAATGTCATTTAAATCACTTATTTCTTACTCAAATGGCATAATCTAGTAATAACTTGGCAAATTCAAGTGTAAGATGGACTCTATGGTAGAATATGTTATGTTTATCATTCTGCTTCGACATAATTTTATTTTCAGGTATCTCCAAAAGACTCATTTTTGAAAAAGTATCGATTAGGCACAGTTAATAGCGTGTTTAACGACGTTTACATGATAAAAGAGATGACATTCTTCACGCGACAGTTAATAGAAATAATCAAGGTTTTTGATTCCATTGATTATCCATTTTGTAAGTTATTAATTTATATGTAAAAGCTACTTTTAAATGAAAATTGTTTGTAATATTGCTGTTTTTAGGTAACAATTTTGAAAATTTTTTTATATTTTGGTTTACTTTTAATTTTGTAAACCTTCTATCAGTATAAACCATAAACTTGCATGAATTAATTTAATACTCTTATTTACAGACAACTTTCATTGTGGTAACATTGTCCTCTCTACAAATGGGTCAATCAGCCTTATGGACTACGAATTTGCTCTAACTGGCCATTCAAATAGTGACAGAGAAGCCTTGAAACGTTCCAAAGCCAAAACCGTGCAAGAAATGCGTATCTTTCATCTAGGTGCTACGATATACGAGTTTCTGACCGGCTCCATTACCGTACCATACCCAGAAGACATGGACGAGTTGTACGAATATTTCCCAAAGGAATTCCGCCAAATATTGGCATTGATTTTTGGACCCGGTGCTCAAATGCCAACAACAGATCAGCTTTTGTCACTGCCATTGTTTAGAGATTGTGTGACAGTGCCTGTACTGGATGGACTGACCTTTCAAATACCAAAACATGTACAGAATTACTTTAAAGAGATGTGCGCAAGGATAGAAAGGAGGTTGGAGGAGGAGAGGAGTGAGGTAAGGGAATTTATGTGGTTTGTGGTACAGATTATTATTTGTATAGTAGTATTATAATTTTTATATTAGGTTGTTCAAATAATTCTGCCCTCTGTAATTCTAACAAATTTGCTTTGCGAAGGGGCACAGGATTATTTGAACAATCTACTTGTATAGAACTTGCAAAAATGGTATAAAAGTTGCTTTAGGCTTCTCTTCGGGGTTGCTTTTGGAATTAGAAAATTGAGCGGGGTATTGGGGGGTGATTATTTCTTTTGAATTTGAAAATACAATGCCTGATTTAGCTTCGGCTAGCCAAAGAAAGAGCAAAAGTTCAAATGCATTTGTTTTCTGACGCTGAAAAGCAACGTCGACGCAACATAATTCAAGAACATTTGAAGAAAATGGAAACAAAATAAGCGTACCTTCACTCTTTTGTACAAACAAAGAATTCTACATAATATATAAATGTATATGGATCTAGTTTAGTGATTTAAAAATTATTTTGATTTAAAAACTTTATTTAGTATTTTAATGTTTTTTTAGCGTTCTAAACGTATGTTGTAGTAATTTAGGCTCATATATTTTTGAATTTTGTATAGTAAGTTGTATCAGAATAGATTTTTATTGACAAAAGGCATAGCCAGGTCATTTTTTGTTTCAAATCTTGTTTTTAATTGAAATTTTAAAATAGAGTATTTTGTATAAATTTAAAGTTTTTTACAACAATATTGAGATCTTTTATTGCGTCGTTGTTAAAACATATAAAGTTGTAGCGTTTTAAGATAAAATTATGTAGTTACCGAGAAATGACAAGGTACAAGATAGTGTTATATTATTTAAAAATAAAAAAATAATTAGAAATATTATTATCTACAAAAACAGTAATCACAATATAAGATGACAGGCAGTAATTATCATAAAAATATGTTGAGTAGTAGCGAAAACTACGTTAGATTATATTAGGTTGTTAAACTAATTTTACGCTCTTTAACTCTGAAAATTTTCTTTGAGAGGGAGCACAGAATTATTTGAACGGCCTAATATATCAAAAGAATTACAACGTAAAGACTTTTTATAGTTACAAATTGGTAACAAAATATTTGATACAATAATATCTCACATAGAGAATATATTAGTTAGGACACATAGAGAGTGTCGACCGAAAGACCATGGCTGCTGTATGATAATAAGGTTGATAGTCGTATAATACCACTAAAAATCTATTTTTTTGGTAAAATTTTATAAAAAAAAACTTTTTGACCAGCTTCGTAGAGGTGAAAAGGTTATGTTACACTAAGGAGCAGAAACATAACCTTTTTTTAAATGACATTAGTTGAAGCCATCAAAATGTGATCGTGTTAAGGCCGACTCGTTGTGGTGGTAATTCCTGATATTGGGAGGAGCTGGTGGCAAATCCATCAAACCCTCCTCTTCGAAACTGATACCTCCAAACGTCTTCAAAGGTTGATGCCTAAAACTGGACAGTTCCATTTGGGATTGGGCTGATCTTAGCTGTCGAAGGGGTGGGGATTTGTTCGGTGGCGGAGAAATTCCGTCAGGTCCTAATAGGGTCGAGCTGGTCATTTGAGTGGTCGGGGAGCCAGCCGAACCATTGGGAGATGATTTGTTGGAGGAATTTGAATAGTGATTGGCGTGTTCATGATGATCTTGACGTACGGGTTCAAAGGAATGGAAGTTGTGTTGGGAGGTGGACATTAGGGGGTGTTGGACCCGTTGGATCTGAAAGTAGGTTATGTTATGTTAATGTGGTGAACTGAAAAATGTGGTACTATACTAGAAAATGATTTTGCGTTTGTTGTTTACTATTATATAATACTAAAGTTATATGTCGAAATGTAAAATTATTTTGCCATAAACTTTGTGAATTCCGTTTACATACCTGTGGTTTTCCATCAATCCCAGTAAAGACACTTAATGTGCTCCTGGCAGTCGGCAGTCCTTTGAGATGGCTCAGATTACTCTTTGAAGGCGAGTTTTGAATAATGTGAACATGCCTGGGATTATTTTGGTTTTGGTAAATTGCTGCATTGGCGAAGATTCCAGCTAGGCTCGTGGCTCCAGTTAGGCCGTTCATATCTGAAATTTTAATTTTTTTAAAAAGTTTAGTGAAAAAGGTAAAGAAATTTTAATTTTTGAAGATTTAGTAGCAAAATACTACAAGCCATATCAAACTTACTATGTCTAGGCTTTGGAGTCCTAAAAGTCTGCCTAGAAGGACTGTTTAATGAGAATTCACTAGCATGTATCCTATTAGCCCTCATCGTGCCACCTCTAATGTCAGCGAACGGTTTGTTAGCATAAAGATCGTGATCTTCATAGTGATCTTCTTCATCTTGTTGTACCGTATAGTTAATAGGTGACAGTTCACTCAAAGGATCATTGTTCATAAACAATGGTTCTTGATAGACTTGTGACTTTCTACTGAAGAAGTCGGCCTTTGGAGACATGGCTCGGTTCTTCGGTCGGGAACGTAGCCTTGGTTTCTGTCGATTTGTCTGCCATTTTCTACAGATGGCAAACACGATAGCACATATCACTGGTATGAGCATGATAAGAAATGACACGATCAAAAGGAATGTTCCACCGTGAAGACCCAGAATCCGCCAGGCAGTGGGTTCTTCGACCAAAACATAAGTTCGGGCGATCCGTGGTCGACTTGACAATGACCGACCAGCACTGTTTTCAGCGAATACCGTGATGCGGTACTCAGCACCAGGTAGAAGCTCATCTAATAGCACTTCATTGGTCATGTTTCGGATTCTAACTTCCTCGACCTCACCACTGGAAGTGTCCATGTAGTTGACGATGAATTTGTCCGGGATATTGAACTTGGTCCCAGTTACATGTTCCCACGATACTAGGATCGACTCATGAGATACGGTCTGTACTCTAGCGATTCTGGGTGATAAGGGAATGACCATTTTGGGCTCGACAAAGCCCATCCATTCGGTTGGTGGTGAAGATATGTGATTGAATCCTCCGGTAAAGTGAGCGCTGACTCTGAATTGGAACTTTCTGGTGGAATTGAGCTTCTTCAAAGTTGTAGCTCGAACATGAGCTGGAACACGGTCAGCTTCTGTCCATAAAGTCGAGGAATTCTCGATTATTGGATCTTTTTGTCTGATTTCCACTACAAATTCACGGAGATAGGCGTGCTTTTCGTGGGAGGCCTGAAAGTTGAAATTTAGCATTACTTGACATAGACTAGGACTTTAAGTTTAAAAAGGTACTAAAAGTACTAAATAACTAAGATAAGCAACTATTAAAATGAATTATGTACCATCTCTAACGTAATCTTACCTTAACCGACCACTGAACTCTAGCATTGTGATCAGCGTCCATGAATATCACTGGTTTTGCCACTTCGAACGAAACAAAGTCCGTCGTATCTTCTTTCGAGTTTTCTGGAGCAGGAATCGGCTTGGGTACGGTACCTTGAGCAGCTACAGATAGCCGTGCACTCTGGCGACTTTGATGAGCTCCAGTAGAATCATTCACTTCACACGTGTAGATTCCAGCATCAGTTTCGGCTACACCAACAATCTCCAAAGAAGCCGTGCCAACTATCCTGAGCCTTCTGTTTCCAGCAATGTCGAGCACATTACCATCCTTTAGCCATCGTACCTGAAGGTCATTGACGCCTAGTGGTATACATATTAGTTGGACTCGAGTACCCATGGATCGTGTAGCGTTTGCTGGACCTTGTACGATGAGATTTGGCTTCACGTTCAGTCGCTTATCAACGTACAAGTTCATTGATCTACCTCGTTCCAGTCCAGGTCCATAGATCTCGGCTTCCTCCATAGCTGGCCTAGATATACATTGTACACTGCCAGATAAAGGGTGATGAGACTTTAGGGTAACATTGATTGGGTTGGTGTAGAAGTTGGTTTGAGGTGCAACTCCCATCTCTTCCATAGCATCAATCAAGGCTAGTCCATTCACGTATACCATTGGAATTTCGTACCATAAGTTGTGGGCGTAACATGAGAGCTGCCACGATTTGTCATGAACTTGTTGAGCTAGCATTAGGCGGACATTAGTTGGGGCATGGACTATTAGACGATAGGTTATAGTAGGGTGGTCTGTACGACGAAGTTCATTGTCATCATGAGCTTTGAGACCGTGACATACGTAGTCATCGGAGTCGTCTACTGTGACGTGCTGAAAATTTTTAAAATTTTTTCAGCTTTTTTAATAAATTAGTACCTACATTTTAAGTAATAAAACGATTTTTAAATTTTAAAAATAATTTAGGTAATAAAAAAATATTTTTAAAAATTTTGTTGCAAATTAATTTTTAGTGATATACTAAACCAAAAATAAAAAACCCTTACCTTAATCCTCAAATTTCCCCAAATCTGTCGAACCCTAGCTCTGTCATCGTCAATCGACACATCTGACATCGAGAAGTCAGGTTTGTTCCATCGAATCACAGCATCAGATATGACACACTCCAATATAGCCGTCTGACCAGCCACAACATGATATTCTATTGGAGTTGAGCTGTTATTCTGTTTTGGATAGACAATAACTGGCTTTTTGGCTTGGTCTGGTCGTCTAAAACGAGGTCCTGGCTCTACTAACAGTTCTATTGGCTTTGGTGCAGCTCTCGTCAGATTCATGTAGGGGTTGCGGATCATACAGTAGTACTTTCCAGCATCGACTGGTTGGGTTAGGGCGATTTGTAAGCCGGTTGGAGTTGAAATGAAACGTTGATTGCCTGTTCGACCAAGTTGAACACCTTCGTTACCTTGCTTTTCGAACCAGATTTCTGGAGGGCCTGAAGTTGAAAGATTAAAACTGGCAATTGAAGAATTATCTTTGTTGGCACTTTGTTTTCTACTTTTGAAATACATTTTTAGCCAAAAATGTTGTATAAGATATTTCATACCTGGTACAACGTCAGGAAGCCCAAAACATGGTAGTCTAGCCACTTCTCCAGCTTTTACTCTGATTTTCTCGGCTGAATAACGCTCAAACTTTGTGATTCTGGCACGACGTAGCTTCAATGGGGCTGATACTAACCTGCTGTTGACTATAGTCTCATACGCCAACTTTATATTTCTCACTATAGATGAGCATTGATATTCTCCTTCAGTAAAGTGGGTCGCTTTTATGATCTTTAGACTAGAAATATGGGGTTTTGCAAAGTATATAACAATATATAAAAGATTCAGGTTCTGCTGGATTGTTACTAATAATATTATAGTACTTACACTCCGTCGCTTTCACTGAGTTCCGGATGTTCATCTACCAGTTCTTTAATAGGAGTGCCATCTTTCATCCAGTATATGTTATCCAATGATGCTCTTTTCCATTCCCCATTAGGATCGTGCAACTGGCAGTTCAATTCTGTTATAGTAGACCGTAGAAGATAAGTAGAGTTGGTGGATACGATAAGTTCTGGCAGTTTAAATATGCCTCCTCCTTTAAAGGTTTCGGCCACTGTGAATGTTGATAACAGTAGAAGTAATGTTGATATGTAGTAGTGGTGGTAGTAGTAGAGATGAGCTTTTGACATGATGGTAGTCAATTGGCAGTTGTTTTTGGTTGAGGTAATTGTAAGTTCATTGGCAAGCTGAAAAAAGGTTAGAATTTAGGGAGGTATTGAAAATTTAGGTAGATATTGGGTTAAAATGGCTATTATAAGGTCACGACTGATTTTAAAATGTAAAATACGCGGTATTATTATATTGGTCCTTTCATAAAAGTAAAAATATGCCAAAAGATATAACAAGCCGTTTCTATCTGCTCACATCGACCCAAAAACACCCCCGCCCCTCAAATACGATAATTTCACGCTACAATAGCCCACACATAACAGATGTTACAATAAATTCGCGTCAAGTCGAGTCATTTCTTAAAACCTTTATAACTCAAGAATTTTACAAAAAATTCCCCGCGGAGCTGCCGTTCCCAACGCGACATGGCATTTAGCTCAGAATTTGTCCAATGATGACTCAACTTTGTCATGAGATTGGACATCAGATACGACGCCTCGGGTAGGCTTCCGAGATTGTCATAATAGAGGAGGGGGTTATAAAGTTGAAGTAGTTGAGCTTGATTATAAAGTTAAAACAGAGGAGCAGATTCGACAAAGATACAATATAAGCATTTTTATGCTAATACTGTAGGAAAACTACAGTAAGGTAATTTTATAAAAGCATTATCAGTTACCTTATACTGTATCTTTAAGCAACAGCAGGCAACAATAACAAGTCTGAAAGGCTTATACCGTGCCCTACCCACCCTACCCTACCCTACCCTACCCTACCCTACCCTACCCTACCCTACCCTACCCTACCCTACCCTACCCTACCCTACTGTACCTTTCTTTTTCTACTCTACCCTGATCTCCTCTTCCAAATCAAAATTCTTTCAATCTAATCCTGACTTACACCTCCAAACCCTACCTATGTTAAAAATATTTATTATCATATACCGTACTTCAAAAAAACCACAATATGTCGCAATAAAATTTGAAGATGACTAATAGTTGAAAAAAATTGTCATAATATGCCACGCTTCCGAACTTTACCACCCCCACAAGTATAATACATTCGGTCGTTTCGTTTTGAAATGTCCTAAAGCCTCAAGATCGAAATCTTGCGCATTTCGTTTGCCAAAAGTCAAAACAGCTTAACTTCAAAGTTTAGGGAAAGAAATTTGAATAAATTTAAAAATTAAAATTTTTTTAAAATACGAGTCACAGAAAAATTTTTAAAAATAAAAAAATCAATTAACCACACACCCCAAACGCTATGTAGGTACACTCGATTAAAACCGGAACGCAAATTTGGAACGTTAGAAAACAAAAAGGATGATTTTATTTATTTTCGAATCTCGTTTAATCCGCTATACCTCCAAAAGTTGTATAGCCCATGAAAGGAAAATCGAAGAAAACAGGGTTTGTGGGAATATTCAGATCTGCTTTGGATCGCTTTCCTGATTTGCATGAATAAGGGCGAATACGGCCTTTAATCAAAATGTAAAAGTTGGGGTAGGGGGTGGGTAAAAAGAGGCTTGTTAGCCTTAGCTTTAAATTTAGCTTTAGCCTTAAACTTAGCCTTAGCCGTAGCCTTAGCCTTAGCCTTAGACATAGCCTTAGTTTTAGCTCTAACCATAGCATTTACCATAGTCTTCGCGGTAGCTTTAGACTTTTCTTCAGTTTCAACCTTAGCCATAGACCTAGCCTTACTGTAACTTTACACTACTCTTAATTTCGTCTTACCCAAGTCTACCTAAGCCTTGCCTTAATCTTTTTCAATCTATCCAGACCATACAGTAATCACAGTTTAATGTTACTTTAGCCATGATAAACAAAAACAAAATAAACATAAACAACACTCAGCAGGTAACACAATATATTTTGTCATCACGAACGGTCACTTTGAAAAAACATTGGAAATTCAAGGAAGAATTACACAAAACGTCGCGCACCGCCAAAAAGCACGAAATCGTTTGGAAAAGCGATTAGAACGGAATTAAATCCTACAATAAGTTCGGTCGTAAAATAAGGGGAATTGGCCCGGAGGGAGCGTTGTGGCTTGCCGCTAGGGTAATATGAGGGTAGGGTTGGAAGGGCAAAGGTTTTTGAATATTAATATCAAAAGTTTTTGATTAGAGATAGAATATTTTAAGTGATGGTCAAAAAGTTCATGGATGAAAGAAAATTTTTTAAAAAACTTGAAAAAAAAGCTTTAAAGATCCCTTATGTTTACCATGTGATATTCCATATTCTGCGCAAAAAATCCTGCCAATCTTCAACAAAAAAATCTCGTTTCATTGCGTGAGAATTTAATCTTACATGATTAACGCTGTATTGTAATGAAATATTCATTACTGACATGGGAAGAACAAGTTTCACTTTCTTTCATTTTTGTATTAACTTAAATATGATAATTATGCTGAAATTTAATTCAACATCAAATATGGTAATTTACATTTAGAACATAACAAGATTTGATTAGTCATTGGATTGAAGACCATAGATGGAGGATTGGCAAAGGCATGGGGAAGGGGGTTGGTGAGACAAAGGTTTAGGTTTGAGTAGAGTTAGGGTAGGGTAGGGAGGGTCAAATTAGGGTATGGAGGGTTGGTTTGAGCAGTATAATAGTAGTAGCTAAAGAAAAACCAAAAAAATTAAAAAATTTCAAAACGGTCGATTTTCCCTTTTTGACATTAATGGGCCGTGAAATCCAAAACGTACAAAAAAATGAATTTTGCGCGCGGTTTTCAAACCTCCTTTTGTTCATTAAAACTCCCATGGAGATCGGAAAGTCAAAATGAGGTTTAAATTTGCATAGAGTATTCCATGGGACTGCGCGAGTCCGCAAATTCTTCCGTTTGATTTGACGCAAAGAGACGATATCGTCTTTAAAAAATGCATGGGCCTAAGGGTTTCGACTATAAAACTAAAACAAGGTGGCTGGAATTTAGATAGAAGTAGGCTTAAGAGTAATTAACTCTTTATCTGCCTTGCCTTGCCTTGCCTTGCCTTGCCTTGCCTTGCCTTGCCTTGCCTTGCCTTGCCTTGAACTGCCCTGACCTGTTCTGTCTTTACTGTTTACCCAAATTCGAAAAATCACCACGCCCATAAGCAACCACCACCTGTTTTAAAAACAAATCCATCCTCTCCAAATTGCGCAATCAAACCCGTCAATGAGGATCCGAACATACATTACAAGCACATACATTACATAGTAACCCACCGGAATACGTAAAGACAACAATTTGTTTCTTCTGGTTTCCCACCGAGAGAAATAATGAGGCGGTTCAGTGGAAAGCGATCGCTGGATGTTCAGAGATTTATGGTCTACAACCACCCCTTTATTCCTCATTAATTAGTCGGGTCATTCGGGTTGTAAAACAATTCACAACACGTTCAGGAAGGAGGGTTGCGAATGAAAATTGAATGGAGGAGAGGGCTGTAGTAATCAGCTTTAAAGCTTTGGATAGGGCTAGAGGGACGGGTATGGTAGTTTTCATTTATGGAGAAGAGGGAGGAAAGACTTCACCTTCAAAGCCAGATGAGGAAATTTAATCTAAGGGCGGGGTAAAAAAATTTTTTTTTGAAAGTTGACAAGGGGGACTACGTTCAACTTTTTCCAAAAAAAATTTTTTTTGAGAAAAAATAGAGACCACACGCCCTGTCCACTCGTCTCCCCCACCCTCTTCTCCACCTCGGCCCCCGCCAAAAAATCTCGACCGGTCAATCCCGTCCACCCCCTTAATTCATAATTTTACACATATTATCCTTTTCGGGTTGGCGCCAAAAATCACCTGCCGTATGTGGTGGCGAGAGTTTCATGTCATCAAACCATTCGGATCAAACATCTGCACCAAAACCCAGCGAAATGAGCGGTTTCGGTCAAAAAACAACCGAATTGTGATTTATTTTGGCGCATAAATTAGGGGTGGACAGTGGTACATGAGTGAGTGAAAGGAATACAGAAGCCATGAATTTTTTAAATTATAATGGGTTGGAAGGGCAAAAAAAGGTTTTTTGGCTTGTCGACAAAGGTTTTTTTCTGTTTTAGTCAATTCGATTCAAAACTTTCTTTAAAAACCGATGTTGGGTTATGCTGAGAATCAAAAAAAAATTTAAAAAATAAAAATAATTTTAAAAATCTTATTAAGGAACCACATCAGACACAAATAGGCTTTCCACTAGTGATATATGTTTTAATCAGCAAAAACTTCTAACATATATGACTGTAAGGTTAGGTGCCAACAATCCTTGATAGAAGCATTACAGTATTTGAAAGATTTTTCCCACTATTCAAATTTGAAAGTTTTGGTCATAAAATTGAAAAAATAATTTTAAAATTCGAAAGCTTATAGTAGAAAATACAAAATTTCAAACTTTGAACTTTTTTGGACTAATGGAGTTTGAGTTATGATGAAATTACAGTAATAGTAGAAAATGCAAATTGTTGTATCTTTTGACCGGCTTAGCAAAAACGGGTAAACTTTTTTAATGGAACCCTGGTCAGGCAGTTCTGGAAATGTGATTCCTTGGTTATAAGAACAGTTTTAGATCAGTATCTTGAGGGTCATGCTAAAGAGGTTTGACTGTATCTCATTAGTCGAAAGCCGACTTCTATTCCGAGTCGCAGCCTATTCAAAAAAGTCAAAAAAATCAAAAATTTTAAAAATAAGTCTTACATAGGCTCAAAGTCATGTATATTTAGACCACCTAATACATAAGGATATAATAAAATACGGCTATCCTAAAATCTACCTTTATTCAACAGCAACTTGAACTTTAGTGACGGTCGTAAAAGGCCGGCTGCTGCTAATTCCTACCTATTTGTTGTCGAGACCTATGTTTATAAGCCGTTTTTGTTGGCATTTGATTAATTGCAGCGTTTCTCACTGTCGTAAAATATGCAAACAGATAGTTTTCGTATTTTACCGTCATTTGAAAGATTTTAGGAATTGGGTGATTTTTGGTTTTTAAATTTAAAATTTTTAAATAGATATCAAAATTGCCAGTATCAAAAAGTAAAAAAAATGTTG